TCGTTCTCTCTGTCTTTCTGGCAAGCGCACATGCCCTATAGCAACAACCTCTCAAAAAAAAAAAAAAAAAGAAAAGAAAAAGAAATAGTGCTGAGAATGATAAGGGGATGATGGGGTTTATACTGACACAGGGACAGTGAGACGTTTGCTGTGCATGACTGGACTGTTAGAGAAAGCAGAAGTGAAGGCCTGTGGGAGCCTGAGGAGCCTGGGAGTGTGCTGAAGCCACTAGCATGGCTGACTCTGCCCTCACACCACATAGGTGTCACCAGCAGTGCCACCCTGTCCTCAGACAGGGACAACTGCTTCAGCCTGGGCTCAGGCTTTACTCCAAGTGTGTCCAAAGACCTAAGGCATTTTTAGTGTTTCTCTGCTATGTAGAAGTTTTGTTTCACTATTATTTATGTGGGGATATTTTTAGTAGCCATTTTCCCTTCAGACCCCACCAGCCCTTACTCTCTGTGCCATGCCAGCCCTTGGCCGGATTTCTGTCAAGGGCACAAGAAGGGCCCTGGAGAGTGTTTGCAAGTGTGGCTGGGCATTTCTGCCCCTGGCTGCAAGTCAGGCTGTTCTAGGCTTGCCAGGCTGAGGTAGCCATTGGCATTGGGATGAGCTCTGGGACTTGCATTAGGGGTTCAGGTTCTTACTTCGACATCATTGCTAGCCAGTTCTGTGACTTTGAGCGAGGCCTGGCTCTATGTCTCAGGCCCCAAACCCTCCAGCTGGTATGGTCCTGATGAAGGCCAATGAAAAGGACACATCCTTGAATTTGAGTTATAAAGCATGGAGCAGACTATACAGCCTGTTGCAGCTGTGGTCATCCCTGTCAGCTATCCCTATAGGGCAGGAGAGGGCAGGACCAGAAATTGGCCCATTCATGGGAAAGGGGATGCTGAATTGAGGAATGGGATGAGGTGGGCCTAGCACTTAGCCCAAGGTTGGTTGTCTGTGGCAATAGGTTGGGGCCGGGCCACATTGGCCAGAGTGCCCCAGATGCTTAGAGGGGTCTGGGCCTGGGCAGAGTTATAGAGCTATTTTTTCAGGTGTGTAAGGATATTCTTGTTGCTGGGGTGCAGCAATGAGCACCATGGGGTCCTGCCCTCATGGCATTTATGGTGTCTTTGGTGTGGGAGGTAAGCAGACAGTGAATGAATAGAAAAGTGAACAGTAGACTATCAGATGACAATAGGTTCAGCAAGATGACAACGTGGGAGAGGGAGATGGAGGCCTTTCTATACAGAGCGGTCCATTGAGCTGAGGAAGGAATAAGAATGAGTGGTAGGCAAAAGACAGCAGGGTCTAAGATCCTGGCACTGAAAGAACTCAAGTCCTTGGGACAGTCAGGAAGGCAGATGGCGAAAGCAAGGCCCAGTGGGTAGTCAGGTTCTACTGGCCTGTGGTTGCTCAGAGGGTGTGATCTCGTGTGGGGTAGTGGAGGCAAGGATGTGACCTAGTGTCCATCTTTAAAAAGTACTGGCTCCTCTATGGAGAAGAGCTGCAGTGGGCCACAGCAGGACATGGGTGGGGGAGCACGTGACCTGGACTAAGATTTCAGGGGGTGACTCTAGGCCGTGGTCAGGATCAGCTGTAGGTCAAAAGGTGAGCACCAGCAATCAAGCATGGCTTAGGGATTCTGGCCTGGGTGGCGTCATGCATGGAATGGGAGAACAGAGGGAACTGAAGTACTTTCTGCACACTGGATGCTGGGGCCTGAGCTCAAGTCAAGGCCAGCAGATCAGAGATGCTTGTCAGCATCTGGGAAGCCTTTTCGGCCTCTGGAGTGAGGGTAGGTGGCAGAGAAGTCAGACCCTTAGCTTCAAGCCTCTTTCAGGGTGCTCACCTCCAGAGGTCTGGTCTGGAAAAGGAACCACAATTGAGGAACTCAGAGAGAGGGCAGTTTTGTTCACTGCACCCTGGAGAGTGACTGCTTGGTCAGACACTGCCCGGAGGATCTGTGAGGAGCAGAGAATTGCCTTTGGGTTTGACAGCAGCCTTCTTCAGATCATGGTGAGAGCTGTTTCCAAGGGTAGGCAAAGAAATGCTTGGCTGGGTCTGGCAGCGGCTGTTGGAGCCAGGAATGCAGACAGTGCTTCTGAAGGCTTACTCCGAGAGCCCGGAAGAGTGACCTTAGCTGGGCAGCAAGACTGGATGTTGGGAGAATTTATTTTATTTGATGGGCAAGAGAGTAACGTGTTTTTATACTGATGGAACGTTCCAGTGTGTTTGGGGGGGTGGGTAATGGAGGACTGGGGGCAGAAGGGCCACAGTGTCCAGGTGCCAGGAGGGAGGTGCTGGATGGTGGAAGAGATCGTTAGGGGACATGCCTGCCAGTGCGTTCACAGTCCATTTGAGTTGACAGTGTGAGCTCAAAGCAAGGCTGCCATAGTTTCTTTGTTTGTTTTTCTTTCTTTCTTTTTTTTTTTTTTGGCTATAGGGTGTCTGTCCTTGACAGAGAGAGAGAGAGCGACAGACAGGAAAGCGAGAAATCGCCCCTCAGGGGGGATGGCCACGCCACAATCCCTTTTCCTCGATTCTCCTCTTGGGATCTTGGGCAAGCAAGCATACGCACCCAGCGTGAGTTTAAGCCACCGGGTCCGGGACTCAAACCACAGTTGACTACATGGGAGTTCAGCGACATAGCCATTACGCTAACTGCTGGTCCCAAGGCTTTCGTAGTTTTTGTCAGCAATGCTCAGATCCTTCTTGGTAGGCACAGAGGGCTGTCTCATGGGGTTTACAGGGCTGGGGTCTCCAAGGTGAGAATAGTGGGGCCCTGGCAATGTGATACTTTGCTAAATGGAGGGACA